AGCGGTGATGCCCCTCCGGACCAACCTAGGCCCCCGTTGCCTCATCTCCCCCTTCCTCCTGCTCGCGGCTTCAAAAAGGCCAGCCGAGTATCAGTGGACCTTTTGAGGCCGCCGGCAGGGGCCTTTTTTACAGCCACGGACAGGGATCTCACCGGATCCACAGCGAGACCTTCTCCAGTTCATTGTTGCCTCTGCAAGAGGGGGAAAACCCCAACCCAGTCTTTGTATTCCAACCTCCCCACCTCCCTTCTTCCCGGCGATGTATGGAGTAAATGGGCTTTGTTCTATGGGAAAAGGGGTCCCAAGGCTTCACTGAGCTGTCGGTCCCTGGGAGAACCCTCCTTTTACCCACCCCCCCTTACCCCCCTCAACCCTCCCCGATATCGCTCCCGGCTAGGAAAATGCACGGGGCTGGGCGCAGAGCAAGATGGTGAGCCTGGCACTCATTAGATGTGGCTTTTCCCCGTGCAGTGTCAGCTCATGTCGTGGTAAGGCAGCCTAGTTAAAACGAGGAGTTTGCTTACGCTGACGGCTGTTCGCGTGGTCACTTCCCAAGAAGGTGGCAAATCCTTCTGTCGTCTCCCTCGACTCTCTCACCGAGTCGGAATGGAAATGCAGAAGCGCCAAGTACTGGAAATGGAGAAAGCTCCGAAGACGACTCCCAGCTCCAGCTCCAGCCCAAACCACAGCCTCAACCACAACTCCAATCCCTACCCCTCTGGACCGAGTCCAGTCGCTCCGCAGTTGTGTATTGCACACTTTGCTCTCTCTTGGGCGCGGAGGGCAAGAAGTTGCTGGGAAAAGTGTCAGCGTCGGGGGGAAGGACAGGGAAACTCCGCGCCTCTGAAAACCCCAGAGCTGGGCTGTGTTTACTGTCCCTGCGGAGGCTCGGGAGCATGGGAGGGGAGGCAGCGGCCATGGAGGTGAAGCTCTGTGCCGGCACCACTGCGGGCTCGGGGTGCCCGTGCCTAGCCGCCCGGGCAGGTGACTCGGGGTCCCCGCTCGCTGGGCTGTGCGGGACAGCCGCAGGTCCCGCAGCAGCGCCGGTCACCCAGCCCGACTTGGTACCCAGTCTAATGATCGCCGGCGGTAGCCCTGGAAGGAGGTTTGGAATGACAAACGGGTGCCCGTTTGTCATAGACGAGTTCATGTTCATTAGCTCTGACCACATATTTGCTATTAATCTTTCGTAATCAGCTGAGGAGTGAGCCAGGCGTGATTACAAGTTTCTCTCGGTTATAAGCCGAATCAGTGTTTACTCTCAGGACATTAAACGCTCCGTAATTAGAAGGAAGTTTTGTCGAAGAACAATTTTCTCACCCTTTTATGTGGCAGCAAGAAACTTTCTACCGAAAACTTTGCTATTAAAAGAAGCCCAGAGAAACGAAGGACTTTATTTCTCCTGACATCTTTCTATGTGTATTCCCACGTCCTGTTGTGTTTCCTCTTTCAATAAATGCGGTAAAAATTTATCTCATGTCTGGACCTTTAAATAAGGCCGCGAAAGAAAGGAACACCTAAAGGGCAGGGTTTCGGAGATTTTTGAGGTCGATTGCATCAAAGGAAACCACGGTGCAGCCGTAGCGGCTCCCGTAGCGGTCTTCAGCCCTGCCGAGACCTCTGCTCCAGCGAGAGCCCCTCGGTTTACCAAAAAACTCTTTGGGCGGGTTCATGACCAACAACTTCAATTCTATAATGAGCTGCTTTGTGAAGGGCGTAGAAAACAGCATTGCCTTGCACGGCAGGATATTATACACAGGAATAAATGATCTCATGAGCAAAGGTCGGTGCTCGGAGAGCACCCACCCAGTTTACAAGTAGCAGGATGGGTCCCGCACCCCCGGTCCAGAGGCCCCGAGCAGCCCGGCGCTTCCTTTGCCCAGGGAGAGAAGCTCCCACCGGGCTCAGCCGTGTCGGGCAGGGCAGGGGGACCTGCCGCGCTGGCCGGGTCCCTGTCCCTGCCAGGCCGCCCCTGTCCTCTCTGGGCAGCGCTTCCGCGGGTGGCCAGCGCCCCGAGGAGTCGCGTCGCATTTTCCATTGACACATTGCATGGGAATCCGCAGAATACATGAGCTAGAAAGCAACGCTGCAAGCGTGCTTGTGCTCCCCCAGAAGAAAAGCTTGTGGGTTTGTTTGGTTTTTTTGTTGATTTTTTTTTTAATTTTTACAATCCTGAAATCATCTCGTTTAGACAAGTGCATTCACCATGATTTAATACAGCTAGGATTCCACTCAAAGTTTTAGCACAGGCTTTTAGTATCTGTCTAGTCTCCATCTCTTACAGGAATCCCCCCCGATTTTTTATCTCCTCCCTCTCCAGAATTTGCCGATAGCAATTTTGTCGATAGAAAGTTGCTTCTTATGTTCGTGTTTTGTATAATAAAAAAATTCTGGTCCAGGACAAACAGAGAACACAAACAAAATCACTCGATTTATATGTCTCTCAAACTCTATCCCGTTTCCACTGCGTTCCATTGTTACCTTTTAATTTGTGTGAATTTTTAATAGCTAAACAGAACTGAAGAACTTTCATTTTCCCCCATGCCTTTAAAAAATAGCCAGTTATAATAACGAATAGATTGAACAGCAACACGCAAAGAATTGTTAAACTATTTCCCCCTCCAGATCTATGCCACAGCTTCTCACTTCTTTAGTTACTTCAGCCTTAAATAATCCGTTTCGAGACGGAGAAAGTTTTCTCGGGGCTTCCCGTGTGGTGTCGGTGCAGCCGCCGCGGGCCGCTGAGCACTGCGGGCGTTGAACTTGAGCTCTGGGGTCACGGGCCGGGGCCGGCCGCTCTCCGCTCTCTGCCTGCCCCCGCCGCTCTGCAGCAGAGCCGGGACCGCGGGACCCTGACCTTGGACCGGCTCTGCAGCCAGCCGCAGCTGCAGCCGAAACAGAACCACCGGCCGAGCCCCTTCTCCATCGGACGTGGGCTTTATCGTTTGAGTGGAACCCCGTCTGTGTGCAGAGGCAGCCTCAGAAGGCACCGAGGAATTGTGAAACTGTGAGACTCAGAGCCATGGAAATGCGGAACTCAGAGCCATGGAACAGCGGAACTCGTCTAGCGCCCCGTGGGTTTCTGCCTGTCAGCGCGGGGAGGGGCAGTGTGCAGGGCCCGCGGGACTCGGGGACACGCTGTGCAAGTGTCCTTCCCTCGCCAGTGACATTTCACAAGCGATATAGACTGAACACGCCCCGAGACTGGCCATGTGCTGGTATGGCGGCCTGAGGCAGAGGGGACAGCCGGGGCTGGGCATGAAGGAGCCCACTGCGTTCTCAGACACCGGCACAGCCGCTGGAGCTG